AAAAAAGTGTCTTGGGATTTCTCTGCACCATATCCGTGCTGCTCATGGGACTGCCACCAAGCAGGGTTCCCTATTCACTCACTCCCTGGAAATGAGTTTTTTCAAAAATCTAGTTGGTCTAATAAAACTTTTTTCAAAAATATAGTTCATCTAATAAACAAAATATCACCTCTACCACAAGTTCTGGTTCCCTGGAAATGAGGCATTGAAACTAACTGCCTTAGAGTAGTCCCAGCACATGTCCTAGCACTGTTCTCAGGTACTCACTTGGGCATGCTGCTTAGAATATGCCCAGGGCTGCTCAAATGGGTGAGTGGGTGAGGTGAGCTGCTCATCAGCTTTCTAGGATACAGCATGGATGTGAAGTAGACATGCACTTTCTCTTTCCTTGGGGTGATCATGTGCTTTTGCAGCCAGCTCCCCATGTAACTCGTGCCAATGTTGACAATGCATCTATCAGCATCATGCATGCAGCTGAGTCAAGAGAGACTTGGTTATGCAGCCTGCAACACAGATTTCCTAAGTGTACAAAATTTGGGGGCTGCCCAAACTTTCACATGATGTTTGAGAAGATCTTTTTCATACATAAAGAACAGTTACCTATCTTACATTTCTAGTTCATTTTCTGTGTGGTCATGCTTTATGATCGCTCTTTTCTTCCCACCCCCAAATCCATCTCTCCAATTTTTTTCTTCCTATTCAGCCAATGCTAGCAATGCTGGAGAGGGGAAGTACTGTGTAAATAAAATAAATTAATTACTGCTTTATAATTATCTACAGATTTGGCTTTGCAGCATTTCGCAGAAACTTTAGATAATCAGTACCTCCACTTAGACTGAAGGTCATTCACACTAATATAGACAGACAGTAATTTTCTGCTACTTATCCACTTCCTGTTTGCTCATTAAAAGCTCCCAACTCAATAGAAGCCCAGTTAATAATAATAAAGAAGTCCGGCTGCTGTAATGAAGAAACCTGGCTTAACATGGCAACTGATGACCTAGGGCAAGCCTTAATATTTAAAACTGTATCATGCAGCCATACAAGTGTGTTATACTTAGCACTGTCCGAACTGGCTACAAATAGTAGCTTAATAAGCTTCACAGCATCCTGTTGAGTGTGCAGCATGAGCAGTATTGCTGTGATGCATGCTGGAATACAGAAGCAGTGAAACTAAACTTTCACTTCCATGGTGTTATCCCAACAAGAATGTGATTTAACTATGACGTCTGTAGAGTAGGGATGGAATTAAGTCAAGGCAACAGGACCAAATGCCACTCGGCAGATCCCAGAGTAAATGCAAATTGGAACCCAGCGGGTCATTGCCTGAATGCTGGGCTGGATTGGTCATGAGAACAGAATTCAGTGGTTGGCCTGGCCCACTGAGTGCACAGTAGGAGTGATTCATAGATGCTTGGCTTGGAAACCAACTGAATGATCTCCTATGCTATTTCTTTGCCGCTCCAGTGTAGTTCAGCAGTGTACAGGTTCCTTGACTGGTATCACTTTCCACTGTGCAAAAAGGGTAGGAAAGAGTTCCTGTTGAAATTATTACCTAATGCTGACAGGACTTTATTAACAATGTTAGACTTCTAACAATGTAGGCATTTTATAATTATTAAAAAATTTAATAAATATTGTGAAGCCACAAGGGCCAGATTTTTTAAAACTCTTGCTCACTGAAGCTGGCTAAAGTATGATAGTTTTTTAAAACAATTGAATACAGGTTACAGATGAAAACTAATATTTGTTCTGTGCATTTAAAAAAAATATGTCTTTAAAATCTTTGGTGAAAAAATTATGCCAAATTTTAAGTTTTTGATGTTTTATTGTTTCTTTTTCCTCTTCCAACCTCTCTCTCGTTTTGCTGCTAAAAAGGATTAAGAAAATGGAAAAAATGCTAACCAAATAAAACAGGTTAAAAAGGTTTTGGTTTTAAGTTCTACCAAAAGACATTAAGGAAAATTTGGGTGGAGGGAGGCCAAATGTCCATGTGAAGTCTCCATTTTTGAAAGAGAGTCATTTTCAAGGGGAAAAAATCTGGAAAAATATCAACCTCTCAGTTATTTGCATAAACTAGTAACTTACTTCATGAATGGTCAGTGGGGCCAGGCCACATATGGTACCCAGGAGCATGTAAATCTGATACGAGAGTATGGCTGTGGGATGGATGGGATAGCATTTAGAGAGGTATTCTGGCATGTAACGTATTACAGCATCTAGTCTTTTTTTTCCTGAATCCACTTTTCAATCCTTCTGATGCTTGTCAGTTGTACTCTTGACTGTAATTCCTGCTCTCACTCTCTCTCCCCGCTTTTCTCTCTCTCTTTCTGTGTTTCTCCTTGGCAGTTCCTGTTTCCATCTGGACGGCCTCATTGCTCTAGCAAAGCTTCTCTTTCTTTTCCCAAGCGCTGTCAGCAGCTCGCATGGACCTGGTTCCTTCTGTCCCTTGGTATCCTAGCAGCCTCTGCCGTCACTGCTTCTAAGTACAGTAACCAATAGGCTCTTCAAAAAAAGAAAAGAAAAAAAAAAAGAGAAACCCAAACTATTCCATAGCTACATCTGCACCTTTTGCAATCAGGTATTTCTGACACACAGATCAGCTTGCAATTGCAGCAAAATCCCAGATTGTCTATTTTCTTAACAGAATTTACTGTATTCGCTGTAATTCTTTCCCTACAGATGGTTCAGTTTAAGGTTGGGAAAAATATTTTGCTGCTGGATTGAGTCTCAGTACTTGGCTGACACTTGCCGGCCTGTTGCAGCTGGCTAAAACTTGATCTGCTGAAGTGCAGCCTCCTTAAGGAACTGATCCAAAGTGCTGCTAAAGACCCACAACTCCTGGTTACAGCCTGTCCATATGGTGAGGGGACTACTCAGTGCAGACAGTGACGCACTGGTGTTAGAAGTGGTTTGCAAAGAACAGCTTGAACAATGTTAGCACAGCCTGTGAACGGTGATGTTCCCCACATAGTATATGAAGTTAAATGAAGTCAGCTCAATTTTCCAATTGTTTGTATAGCTTGAAACTTGTATTGGTTTGGTTAAATCTGTGCAGAAGTCCCTGCATACATATTATTTCATAGAATCTTAGACAGTGAGGGTTGGAAGGGACCTCAGGAGGTCATCTAGTCCAACACCCTTGCTCAAAGCAGGACCGTCCCCAACTAGATCATCCCAGCCAAATGTACATGAGTTTAGCTTAAACATAGTCCAAATTGACCTAAATTAAGATGATACAACCCTTCCTAAAGGTGAAATGAATGTATCCATACACCTCTTGATTTCAAGTTGTACCTTTCAGTACAGCTCTGCATGTCAACAAGTCATTAGCCTGTGGGCTGTCAAAGTTGAAAGGTTTTACCAGCATAGTTATGTTAATAGATCTATGGAAAAACAATTATGTAATTGTCCCAACAAAATTCCTAAAGCAGGTATGCTGGTAAAATACCTTTGTGCTTATAGAAAGATAGCATGTACCTTTTGTTTATAGCAAATACTATAGTATATTCTGTTTGGGGAACTCTTTTAAGCTGATACCTGGTAATTCAGAATGAATGCTTTTCCCATTATAACTTATCAGCATTTTCCAGTATAATTCTAAGACTTCACTTATACCTGCAAACCATTTTACAATACAGAAAAGCTCTTAGGGTCAGATTCTCATTTGCATCAATCTAGCAATTGTAAAGAGATTTAAAAGTATATGTGATTTGCGGTACAAAGGGCTCTTTTATGGTATATGAGAGTAAACGTTTCCAGAGTCTGGTGTTTTCTAGAATGGTGTGTACTCCCTGAGAGGAGAGGATGTTGAGATACTTCATCATGTATCTTCTTTTTTTGTTTCCTGGCTTCCAGATTTTGAAGAAATCCTGCATTGAGATTCTTGCTGCAGAGCCTTCCAGTATATGTGCAGGAGGTAAGTTTAAAGCCATGTGGACTACTCCTCACTGTTTATCAGAGTAGTCGTCTCTGGCCACCCATCCTTTGTTCCTAAGGAGCCTAGAAAGGTTCAACTGACTCGAGTTAAATCTTTTTTTTTTTTTTTTTTTGGGGGGGGGGCGATGACATTTCAATCAAAGAGTGCTTTTCAGAATGAAGTATGCTTTCGTTATAAATTTTAGTGTCCATTATTTTAATGAAAAAATCCCATTTTTAATGAAATTACACTGAACAGGGTTGTTGCAGCCAACCTTTGGTGCAGCACCAGTTGGATGTGGACAGTAGGGGTGATCTATCCTTCAGGTTTAGTGCGCACACAAGCGTAGATGAGTGAAATGCTTTACAACAGTTCCCAGGAAGCTTTGAACTCAAGTCTCCTGTTCCAATGTCAGTTCCCCTGGCATCTAAATATTTCACATTCATGTTCCAAATTTAACCATTATAAGATTATACAGGGCAGTTTTAAGGGACTAACTAAAACTGACAATCATAGAGGTACAGGCCTTGAGCTAAACAGTCAACAAAAGTGTAAAGGAAATGCTGAGGATGCTTAGAAGTGCTTGTCTACCGTGGTTATGGTTAGCAGGGCTGTGCGAAGCTTCGGTCCCTGATTCAGTTCAGCGGAGATTCAGCCCGATTTGGTGACCGAATCTCCAAATCGAATCAGAGGACACTTTAATCTCTCCGAATCAAATCAGAACCCCCCGAATCAATTTGGAGAGATTGAGAAAGATTTGGAGATTCAGACATAGACACAGCTGTAAATGTTTTTTCTACGTACCTCTAGGTAGCAGGCGGCTCTTGAATGCTGCGATGCTGGGGCACATGGAGCATCCCACAGAAGTGCGGGGCGTTCCCCAGCGCACTCAGCAGCAGACCCAGAAGTGGACTAGAAACGCTTCTGGTCCACTTCTGGTTCTACTGGGGAGCGTGCAGGGAAGCCCCCCCCACACTTCTGTGGGATGCTTCATCTGCCCCAGCATCACAGCAAACCATGCTGGTACCTTGAGGTATGTAGAAAAAACATTTAAAGCTGTGTCTATGTCCGAACTGCTTATTCTCCAAATCGGCATCAAATCTTCAAATTTGGATTAATCTGAATCGAATCAGAGACAGTAATCCGAATCAATTAATCGAATCACTGTCCCTGATTCAGGCCGAATCCAAATCCGAAATGAATAGGGCCCGCTTTGCACACCCCTAATGCTTAGGATATAGTGCAGGTTTCTAAATACCAGACTTACAGCTGTTGGAAGTGAACATAGTATTTCCTAGTTTGACAAAATCCAGCCCCATCACAATGGAGCTTGAAAGCTGGTCCCAGCGTCTTTGAGCTACTCTCTAGATGATTCCAGATCCAGCTGCTTCCCAGGAACTTGGCTCATTGTACAGACTGGATCCCAACTGCTTATTTAATGCAGACCAGTTAACAAGGAAGAGGGGCCAGGATCAAAGCCAAAATGTGCAGAGCAACACAGTGATTCAGTGGTTAGCTCTGCCATTAGCTTTCCGTTTCATAACTTCGTAGTTCAAATAAGAAAGTAAATTATTATTAATTCTTTGTGTTTCCAGTTCAGAGCTATTTATTCTACTCATGCTTCCTGAGCTTCCTATTATTGGAAAGACTGTATATCTGCCTTACAAGCAGTAAATGTATAAGCAAAGCCATAGGTCACCAAACTTAACACTGGCAGATAACTGAATACAGAACTTATCCTTGGTATTGTGGTTTTTTACTTAATGCTGAGCTTCTCCTGAATTAGTTTCTCTAATAGTTACTAGTATTTATTTCCCCTCCCAGCTTTCCATTGAAAGAATTTTTTACTAAAAATGTGGATTGCATAGTGCACTATAGACTGTACGGTTATAGTCTTATACTTGGAAAGAGGACCTTTCATTCAAAAGAACTACAAAGTAACTTAGTAAATGATATGCCAATAATATATGGGGATCTCTTCAGCTCTGGAATGCAGGTGATTGTAGGCTGGGCATTGCAAAAGTCTTGCCCGAGTATGGTAACAGTTCATAAAAGTTTTGGTTCCAGTATGGGTCAATTTATGCATATTTTATAAAAGGTTAATGCATACTGACGGGACCCTTCAGTAAATCATTGATCAGTGCCACAGACTGTTGTAGTGTCACATGGATCAATAGGTTACTTAAAATAATGTTTCTAATAACCTATAACACTTTCTTATGTGCTCATAGGCATCTTATTACTGTCTCTGTAACTCTTGGAGCGTCCATTCATCATATATTTAAGTAGACTTAATAGAAAGTATACATGAACTCTGTATCTAAATTAGCAGAAGAAGGAAAGGGTAGGGAGATGTTGCATAATTACTCAAGTTAGGATTTGGCAAGGAAGTGATGCTACCCTGAAAAATGCCTAGGGGTTCTTTACTAACCATGATTATTTATCTAGGATATCAAGCTTATGTCTCATTGGCAAGACAACACCAGTGCCATCCTGGGCATTGTTTAGTAATAACATACAGAAACAGCAACAGAGCTGACTGGATGGTAACTATTCTGATGTGCAGCAACTTTAGAGGTTTTGATATTTGTTTTTTTTCTGTAAGACATTGAACATTTTCACCAAAAACAGAACTGAGCCAAAATGTCCTTCCCCATCTCCCCCAGAATTGAACCCTGAGCTTTCTTGATTCAGGCAAGGGTGTATGGTTAAGTGACTCACTTAAGAGGTGGGAAAACTAGGTTTGTATCCCTGTTCTCCCTGGGGTGTATTGGGTAAGTCTGATTCAGGGGTCAGTGCTGTCACCAGTAGATGCACTAGTTGGGTATCAGGCGTCCCAGTCTGAGCAGTGCACCCCATTCCCCCCTCACCCTCATTGTTCAACTATCAGCAGTAACTCTTAGGGGTGTGTGAAACGGGCTGTATTCAGTTCAGATTCAGCTTCCATTGGGGACAGTGATTCGATTTGTTGATTTGGATTACTGTCCCCGATTCAATTCAGCCAAACCGAATCTGAAGATTCGATGCTAATTCAGAAAATCAGCAATTCAGCCATAGATACAGCTTTAAATGTTTCTTCTACATACCTCAAGGTAGCAGGCACACCTTGTGAACACTGCGATGCGGGGGCAGATGGAACATCCCACAGGAGTGCAGGGGCCCTCTGCATGCTTGAATGCAAACCCGGAAGTGGACCAGTAGTTCCGGGTCCACCAGGGAGCGTGCAGCCCCCCCCCC